AAATGTACAAATGTGCTTGACACAATGGATGGATGGATGGATTGTGATAAGAGTTGTATGAGCCCCCAATAAAATGATATTTTTTTAAATCAAGAAAAGTGTGCATCATGATTTTATCCTCTCATCAAGCTTAGTATGCTGAACAAATAATCAGAGAAACTGGATTATATGAAGAAGAATGTGGCACCAAGATTGGAGGAAAGCTTATGAACAACCTGAAATATGCAGATGACACAACTTAGCTTGGAATGAGAAGGACTTGAAGCACTTGCTGAGGGAGCTCGAGGATTACAACCTTCAGTATGGATTACAACGTAATGTGAAGAAAACCAAAATCCTCACAACTGGATCATGATAAATGGAGAAAAAGGTTGATGTTGTTGAGGATTTTGTCTTGCTTGGATCCACAATCAATGCTCATGGAAGCAGCAGTTAAGAGATGAAATGATGTGTTGCCTTGAAAAAAATCTGCTGCACAAGACCTCTTTAGTGTGTTGAAAAACAGGGAGGTTATTTTGAGGACTAAGGTGTGCCTGACCGAAGCCGTGGTATTTTCAAGTGCCTCATGTGCATGTGAAATTTAGACACCACAGCAGGAAGACCTTAAAAACCCAACACATTGGAATTGTGGTTCTGGTGAAGAATATTGAAAGTACCATGGATTGCTAAAGGGACAAATAAATCTGTCTTGGAAGAAACATGGCCAGGGTGAGCCTAGATCCCAACAGTGGATTCAGGCATAGCAACAATTGTGAGTTTGATACAAGATGGTGTATTGTTTCAATCTTTTGTGCAAAGAATCATTGTGGTTTAGAAATGATTCAATGGCGCCTAATAATACTAATGCTATAAGGAATCACAATAACCAGATCCTGTTTGATAAATTGGTTGATGATAGATACTTTTGTTCTCATATTTCACTTTTCTGGGTTGTGAGTTTTCACATTGCCAACTTCACTGGCCAGTGACCTATGGAGCTCCCGTTGGCATCCTTTGCCTAAGGCTATGAGTGGAACAGGGTCAGCAGAGTGGTGCTCAGCCATCACTTCTCACAACATGAAGTTTTGATGAGTGATCGAAACCAAGAAGAACCAATTCTACTTTTTCTAGAAAATAAGGCAATTTGGCCATCATAGTCCTGAAGGTCTAAATACCCAGCCTGGTGTGGGTTGGAACTCTTCAGGATGGGTTCATGTCATCTTGTCCCTGTCTCTCCAAAGCCTGAAGTCTCTCCAATGTAATGAAGTCCTGGCACAAAGCAACCTATCAATATATGTTTGCAAGAGGAACTGAATTGAAGTTATCTGTCAGGAAACAACAAACCTTTAAATATGTGTAAATACCTCTGGCTCCATAAATATATCATGGAACTGAATTGGAAACTTGAATTCACCTATTTGAAATACCCAAGTCTTCGCATAACATGCTAGGAGACCAAGGGGACTTCTTCTACCTACCATTTATTAAGGCTAAACCAACTAATTCCCATCTCAAACTAACGGACAACTTGTGAAAGATGCTCAGATTATGACTTACTATGGCCAGCTGGTGTATCACATGGCCCTGCTTGGTACTCACGCTCATGAAGAGATCACTGAAGATATGGGTGCTATAGCAAAGTGTAGTAAAGAAACTACATGGTTCCAAACTATCAGATAGAATAGCATATAGAGACTTACAGGCTTGTCTTAAAACAAGCAGCCAATCAAGCAAGATATAATGAAGTTCATATAGAACTTAGTTCCATGTTCACACCAGCCTTTGTGATCCAAAGACTGTAAATATTATAATCCAAATTGGAAAGGGAATTTTATCATAGTTTAAATTGTGAACGCCCTATTTGCAGAAGGCTATGGATGACAGTAGAAGCCCAAAATCCATTTGCAGTGTCCACACATAAGTTAAGCCTCCAGTGAATATTCCCTGATCATGGCAGAGAGATGTGAATAGCCCTGTTATCAGTCAGAGAGTATTATATATATGATTATAGTAGACATAGATTAAAATGTAACACATTATTTGATCCCTTTTTGATTCATTTAAAAGTTGTATTCGTTTTTTAAAAAGTGAAATAGACATGGATTAAGCCTCTGGTAAATTCTCTCTGAACATAGACCAGGAATGTGTGTACATTGGAAAGTGGATTACATCAGACGGACCTCTGTTAAAGTTCAACACTTTATCACTTGATCTCCATTTGGAGCCATTGTTCCCATTCTCTTAAAAAACTATTGGAAAAAATGATTGGTATTTAATGCATATATCATTCCATATTCAATCACGTCAACCAGAATTGTGCAATTGCTACTACAATCAGTTTCCAAACACTCTTTTTCCTTTTCTTGCTTTTTAATCATTTTATTGGTGGCTCATACAACTCTTATCACAATCCATACATACATTCATTGTGTCAAGCATATTTTTACATTTGCTGCCATCATCACTCTCAAAAGATTTTCTTTCTACTTGAGCCCTTGGTATCAGCTCCTCATTTTCCCCTCTCCCTCCCTCACCCTCTCTCCCTCATGAACCCTTGATAATTTATAAATTCTTATTTTTTCATGTCTTACACTGACCGATGTCTCCTTTGACCCACTGTTCTGTTGTCCATCCCCCAGGGAGGAGGTTATAGGTAGGTCATTGTGATCGGTTCCCTCTTTCTTCCCCACCTACCCCTTCCTTCCCCTCCTGGTACTGCTATTCTCATTATTGGTCCTGAGGGATTTATCTGTCCTGGATTCCCTGTGTTTCCAGCTCTTATATGTACCCGTGTACATCAAACACTCTTTTTCTATGTGGTCTTTTGGGCCATTTTAAAGTTGTTGCCATTTTTAATATTTTCTGCTTTCTTTTTTATTGAGGTTTTCTCTAGTTATTATTATTGTTTTTAGCTTTTTTTGTTTCTTTGTTTTTGTATGTTTTCAGTATACGAAATCCAGAATTGGAGAATCTGTAGAGACAGTCACTGGGTTAATGGTTTCTTGGTCGTATTGCAGGGGAAGCTGCAGGGAAATGGGGAGCTAATAACAAGGAGTAAAAAATGAAGAACATGTTCTACATTTGATTGTGATAATGATTGTACAACTTTTCTTGATATGATTAAACTGTTGAATTTTATGAGTTAAATATGAGGACAAAAATACCTGTCATCAGTCACTTAATCAATCGGGATCTGATCTTGCATGATATATGATTAAACTATTGAATTGTATGATATGTGGGTAGGAATTAGTTGGTTCAGAATTAACAAATGGCTGGTAGGAGAAGTGCCCGTGGTCTCAGAACAGGTCATGAGAAAATTTGGGAGTTTAAAATAATAAAACTGGGGTTTTTTTGTTTTTTAAAAAATTCCTATTTGGTTCCTGAAGCATTCAATATCTGATAAGGAAGATTTTGGGTACAAATTATTAACTGTTCCAAATTAATAGTAGCCCAATTAATGCATTTGCTCTCTCAGATAGCACACTGCTATCTTCAAGCATCCCTTTAAAGACTAGCACTGTTTGAAGCATTTATCAGGTCATGAAATTTTTGCTCTTCATCCTGTTTCAGGAATGAAAATGGGAGCGAGGTGATGCTGAGACATTGGTCCCAATGGAAAATGTGGTTTGTGTTGCAGGCCTGGGGCAGGGTGTGCCCCTAGTGGGCCTCGTGGTTGAAGGAGGCCCTAATGCGGTTTCCATCGTCTTGCAATATCTCCAAGAAGACCCTCCGGTCCCTGTGGTGGTTTGCGATGGCAGTGGACGAGCCTCGGATATTTTGTCTTTTGCACACAAGCACTGTGAAGAAGGAGGGTAGGACTTCTAACATCTTACCAATGGTCTGTTTTCAGTAGTCTCCTGGGTAGTCCAAGGAAAAATCTGAAGTGATGGGCTTGGGCAGTCAACAAATATTTACATAAGGTTTACTAGATTTCCTTTCCCATTGTGGGGACACGCTGGTTTGTAAGGAATTCTTTCTCTGGTGGAATACATTCTCTTCCAACTTTGTCTTCCTCTTAGAAGGTTTTAAAGAAGGCTGTAATTTACCTTGAACACAGTTTTGACTAGATTCACTTTTGGTTTCCTATTCTGGAATAGCCTCCAATAGTGAAGTTTCAAATCAAAGGTGTAAGATGGACACCTTTATTAACAAGATTTATTAACACTTGGACTTAATACATGTTGCCTCTTCCTTTTTGCTTTTACTTTGAACAGGACAATTAATGAATCCCTCAAGGATCAACTTCTAGTGACCATTCAGAAAACATTTAACTATAGCAAGACACAGTCACATCAACTGTTTGCAATTATAATGGAGTGCATGAAAAAGAAAGAGCTCGTACGTATCTTGATTTTCCCCCAAAAAAATGCTCCACAGAGAGAATTGGGTTTCTTTTCTAATTCCACCCAGGTGTGCCTAATGGCGTTGGTCATACCTAAGCTCAGACTTATCAAGAAGCAGGTCACAAATCCTTCCCAAACTGGTGGTATTCTGCTGGTAATTCCTCTTTGATGAAAACAAATTAAGTACAAATAGAGGAATTACTGAGGTGCTCTCAGATCTTGTAGAGCCTCAATTAGAGTTAAAGAATTAGGGAGGAATGGCATCTGTCACAGATTTAGATATGGTGACAAAGATCTATCACTTCATTTCTCAGTGCAATACTTGCTTCCCACCGTACCCTCCTTCCATTGCACTTAGAAACCATGGCCATTTTAGCTGCACACGTGCCTTCTCAAAACTCCCCAAACATATCATACCTGAGAAGAGATGTTTTTATCATCTCCAATGACAGTGTCAATATTAGCATATAGGTCCTAAATGGGCTCCCTTGGCGTGATTTGTATGAACATAAAAGAAGAACCCAGACAAGGACTCAAGGTCAAGAAGTAATACTATAAATTTAGGAAACTGAAAGCATTTGATTTTAAACTGGTTAACTGCCAGAATCATTCATTACTCATCAGTCTCTCTAGGGCAGTTCTTTGAAAACCACCTCAACTTTCCCTCTTGTTTTCAACTGGACTTTAAAATGGTTCTTTCACATTTTACCTGTTTGCAGGTCACTGTTTTTAGGATGGGCTCTGAGAGCCAGCAAGATGTGGAGATGGCCATTTTGACGGCCCTGCTGAAAGGTATGCTCTCAGACCACAGGGATCCATTGTCCCCATGCTAGTCAGGGCGGAGGTTTCACTTATGACTAAAACCATCTCCTCTTTCCTTCCCACTCAGAAAGCCAGCAGGTAGTCGGGAGTTATCTCAGTATGAAAACATGGCAGAATGGCAGGATTCTGGGTGTGGTCTTCTTGGAGGGGGTCATTTTCTGTGGGTGTCATTGGACCATGATAGGCTGAATCATGTTGGCTAACCATGAAGTTAGAACCCATTCCCATTTGTAGCTGATTTATGGAGGACATCAGCTCTTATTCTGTAAACCTGAAACAGGTCTTCATTTAAAATCACTGCATCTGACCTCCGTTGACATCGGTTGCAGTCAGAGCACCACTGACTCTATCCAAGTCCCAGTCCACACCTCCATTGACAGGCTGCCACTCTGCCACCCATGAGGCGCGGTCTGCTCCAGCATGCCTAAATCCTCCCTGCCTCTCAAATGAAGGGGCAGGCATGAGAAAAGGTGAATGAATTTCCCATTCACCTCTGACTAGAAGTGTTGTGTAGCTCTATGGAAGCATGTGGTTGATGTCCTTGGGAGGAATCTACTTTGGCCTGGATGGCAACTCCTCTTTTAGATGAGGGCCCACTCAAGGAGACTAAACAGAGCTGGGGTAGGAATGAGTTACATCCATTTCTTCTTGGAAAGGTCTTTGATTATATAAGAGCCTTTGTGGCAATCCAGGAGCAAGAGAAAAGCAGTTGGTATGCCCCATTCCATGGGAGTTCCAGTCAGCACTGAGCCAGCCTCGGGAAATCCAAGCTGACCATCCAGTTCCTAATGAGCTGAGCATTCCAAGCAGGGGATGAATATGTGCTCTTGCTCTTCTCTGTTCCAGGAACAAATGCTTCAGCTCCAGATCAGCTGAGCTTGGCCTTGGCTTGGAACCGTGTTGACATAGCACGAAGCCAGATCTTCATCTTTGGACCCCATTGGCCGGTGAAACTCAGTTTGTTTGCTTATTTTAATTCATCATAACACCTAGCATAACTGTACAGATGTTAGACTAGTGTGTTCACTCTTGCAGCATGATTCTCATTAAATTACTTAGAATTTCTGATGCTCTGATGATGTGTAATCCCCTAGGATTATTAGAACATGTTGCTTTTTAACTCCCAAAGAACCAGCAATATATAAGAGCAATTAATACACATTTCAGATTCAAACTTGTATTCTTGAGAAAATTAACCACCAAATATTTTACTGTTTTTGTTGGAAGTGGGTACTTATTCTTTTAAAGAAAAATAAGAATGAAAATGGTACATTGAAATTACATACAGTGATTTTTATTGATTTTTTTCAATAAAAATCCCATAAAACTCTAGAGGCTAAAAGACCTGGAGGCGGGGTGCTGTGCATGGGGAGGGGTATTGTGTGTGGTGATTTTGATATGTGGTGTGTCTGTGTGTGGGATGATGAATATATGATGAACAGTATGTTTTGTTTGTGTGCATGAAGAATGTGCATATGTGTTTGTATATGATGTGTTGAGAACAGTGTGTGGTATGAGTGTGTTTGTGTGTATGTGATGTATATTTATGTTGTATTGAGTTGTGTGTGTGTGTGTGTGTTTTGTGAGTATGTTATCTATAGGAGTGCTATGTGTGGTGTGGTGTGGTATGGCATAATATATGTGAATGAACGTTGGTGTGTACAAGGTGAGTGCTGTGGTATGTGTGTATGTTATCTATGATGAATGTTGTGTATAGTGTGGTTTGATATGTAATGGATGGTGGTGTATATAAGATGAGTGTGAATTGTGGTGTGTGTGTATGTGATCTCTAATGAGTGGTATACAATGTGTATGTGTTTATATATGATATATGTATGCTTATGTGTTGTGTTGAATGGTGTATGTGTATGTGATGAGCAGTACTGTAAGGTGTGAAAGCGTGCATGTGTATGTGTTGTGCATGTGTATGTGTTGAGTGATGTGTGTGGTTTGAGTGTGATATGTGCATGTATGTGTTGTGTTACATAGTGTATGTGTGGTAAGCATGTATGTGATCTGTGATAGACCATGAGTAAGGAGTGGTGTGATGTGCAGTGGTCAGTGGTATGTTGTTTTGTGTGATCTATATGTATGTATGTGGTTGTTGAGTACTGTGTGTGTATGTGTTTGTGGTGTATGGTAAAATGTATGTTAATAGTATGTGTGTGAGAATGATGAATAGTGGTGTGGAGAATATGAGTGATAAGAATGTATATGTTGATTGAGTTTTGTTTGTGTGTGTGTGTGTGTGTTTTGTGTGTATGCATGAAGAGTAGCCCTAGACCTTCTACTTCTTCAATCAATGCAGCTTTTTCTATTTACTTTGTAAATTAGAATTCAGGGTAAATTTTTGTTTGTGCTATACTGCACCCTGACTGGCTCATCTCTTCCCTGTGACCCCTCTGTATGGGGATGTCCAATTGTCTACAGATGGGCATTGGGTCTCCACTCCATTCCCCACCTACACCCCCAATTTGCCTTGGGTATGATTTTGTTCTTGATCTTAGTGTCTGGTACCTGATCCCATCAACACCTCATGATCACACAGGCTAGAGTGCTTTTTCCATACTTTTTTCCCTAAACCTAGCTTTACATCTATATTTTCTTCTAAAAAGTTATTGTTTTAATTCTTACATATAGGTCATTCCTCTATTTTAAGTTAATAATCATATATGATATGAGGTATACGTTCCACAACATTCTATTGCATGAGGTCATCCAGTTCTCCAGCACCACATGTTGAAGAGACTATACTTTCCCTGGGTTTTTTGTTTTGGTTTGTTTTTTAAATCATTTTATTGGGGGCTCGCACAACTCTTATCACAATCCATACATACATCCATTGTGTCAAGCACTTTCGTACATTTGTTTCCCTCATCATTCTCAAAACATTTGCTTTCTACTTGAGCCCTTGGTATCAGCTCCTCATTTTTTCCCTCCCTCCCCACTCCCCCATCCCTCATGAACCCTTGATAATTTATAAATTATTATTATTTTGTCATATCTTACACCATCTGATGTCTCCCTTTACCTACTTCTCTGCTGCCCACCCCCCAGGGAGGAGGTTATATGTAGATCCTGTAATCTCTTCCCCCTTTCTCCCTCACCTTCCCTCCACCCTCCCAGTATTACCACTCTCACCACTGGTCCTGAATTCCCTGTGTTTCCACTTCCTATCTGTACCAGTGTACATCCTCTGGTCCAGCTGGATTTGTAAGGTAGAATTGGGATCATGATAGTTCCTGAAGAACTAGAGGAAAATTGTATGTTTTATCATTGATACACTGCATCCTGACTGGCTTGTCTCCTCCCCGCGGCCCTTCTCAAAGGGGATGTCCAACTTCCCACAGATGGGCCCTGGGTTCCCACTCCACACTCCCGCTCATTCACAATGCTATGATTTGGGGTGGGAGTGGGGGTCTTTGATGTCTGATACCTGATCCCTTCGACACCTTGTGATCTCACAGGCGGGTGTACTTCTTCCATGTAGGCTTTATTGTTTCTCAGTTAGATGGCCACTTGTTTATCTTCCAGCCTATAGGACCCCAGATTCTGTATCTTTTGAAAGTTGGGCACCATCAGCTTTCTTCACCGCATTTGCTTATGCACCCGCTTTGTCTTCAGCGATTGTGTCGGGGTAGGCTGGTGTGCTTTGTTGTTTCTCAGCTAGATGGCTGCCTGTTTATCTTCCTGCCTTTAAGACCCCAGGAACTATATCTTTTGATAGCTGGGCACCATCACTCAACTTGTTCTTAAGATTTTAAAATATTTTTTTTTAATTAAGTGTATTTTGATATCTAAGAAATCTTTCTTATTCCTCAATTCTACTGTCATAACAGCCTGTGTCCATCTCAGTGATGCGCTATTGGAGAATCTATATTGAATTATTTAAAGCTTTCTTTGGTTCTCTGCATGATCTCTCTTTTATCTCTGGCCAGTTTTACCCATTGTTCACTTTGTCTTTTCTGTTGTGCTGTGTATTCTCCTCCAATACTGAAGACATTTAGCTATCTACCTACATTTAAGAATGAGAGGGTGAGACTGCTCACTTATTAAGGGAGGTCTATTTTGCCAACAAGATTTTCTCCTATCCACTAAGGAATTTCCAGTTAGGAATGGGAAGTGTCAACTGAATTGCTTTTCTTTGTCAGGTGCTGGTCAGCACAGGATGATGAGTTTCTGGACTTCCCGATGTAAGCCCTTTCAATTCTTCAACAACTACTCTTCAAACTTTTCCTCCTGTGCACCCAGGAGTGAGTCCTGGTCACCTTCTGATGACTGGACACTTTAGAGATAAAGGTTCTGAATTGTGGACAGCCTCACTGATAACCTCAGAACCAGAAGGAAATGCCTGTCGACTATTCAGGAGAAAAATTATCTATTTGGCTTCCATCTTTGGAAGTAGGACCTGTATTGGTAAAACTGTGAACTCAAATGTTGGGTGCCAGTGAGTTAGCTAAGACCCATAGCAGCCATACGCACAGCAGAACAAAACCCTGAACGGTCCTGCACCATCCTTGCAATTGCTCCTCTATCTGAGCCCACTTATCTGTCAGTGTGGTGTACTGTGGTGGCTTTTGTGCTGCTGTGATGCTGGAATCGGTGTCACTGGGACGACAGATGGTGGCAGGGCCATCCAGAGGGAGCAGGTTTCAGTGGAGCTTCCAGACTAACAACAGACAGCCAAGAAGGACTCACCTCCCCACTCTGAAGAAAAGAACCACGAAAACCTGATGTATAGCTACATGAACTCAAATAATAAACTCAAATCTACAGTGGAAACTGATACTAGTTGATGTTTGGGTGCTACATTGTGCTTTCTGCATGTGCTCAAAGCATGACCATCATTGGATTGTCATTTGATAGGTTGGAAAAAAGACGGACAGTCCAAGAAGTTACATGAATTTTGACAAGTTCACTCATCCAATGTTGTGGTGGTAGACAAATTTTGAAGTGACCCCCATAAGCTCTACTTCCTAGTGTTCGCGCCCTTCCCATTGGTGTAGGCGGGGCCTGTGGCAAGTAGCAGAGGGAGGATATCATACCTTTCATTACATTATATAATCACATATGTCTTGCTAGAAAACTTCTGAGATGCTCATTAAAAAAAATAAATTGCCATGAATCCTAAGACTTGAAGGAAATAAATCCCGCCAATAACTCAAGTAAGCTGAAAAGCTGATCCTTTCCTAGTTAAAGCTCAAAAACATGACAGCCCAGTGTTGATTACAGCCTAGTGTGAACCCGTACCAAAGACCCCACTAAGCTATGCCTGACCTCTAACCCACAGAAACGGTGAGATAATAACTGTGTTGTTCTGAGTCACTAAGTTTTCTTAAGCAGTCATACAAAATTATGTAAAAGCAAGTGTCTCAATATAGGACACAAGTGCAGGTCTGAAGATTCTCTGTATGGACATGAGAAGTTATCAAGTATCCTCAGTTATCCTTTGTGTGTTTGAAATTCAGTCTACAAAATCCCCAGCAAGGAATTATTTGACTCGTATTTAAAGTCGTGCGGTCAAATGTTCTCCCTTTAGAGATGGCCAGTGGAGAGGTACAGGAACTCTAGGAAGATAGGTGACCTGAAAGTAGACGTGAGAAAGCAATAGCAGCTGGCTCTTTGGGCCTTGATAAAACTGTCTGGGGTGAGAGTAAAGAGGGAAGGAAAGTGGGCCAAGAACAGTGCCTGAAGGGCCTGGACATTGAAAGGCTCATCTGAGAAGCAGCAGAAAGGAAAGTGGAAAATTAGGAGTGTGTGGTGCTGGAGAAGAACAAGAAGCAGGCAACAGTCACGTGCACGGGTAATGCAGCACAAGGAAGGCAGAGCGTATCTCAGAAGCAGCCAGTGTACAGTGGCTTGTCCGTGGCCTCACCAAGGGCTGTGGATGGACCAAGGGAGCTTTGCACAGACTGCTAAGCAATCAACCACAGCAGTGGTAGAAGAGGGGTGTGGGTATGAGGGCCACAATTATTAGAGAAGTCTGGCAGGAGGAGAGGGGAACACAAGCAAGCAAGGCACGAGCTGGGGTCCGAAGGTTGTTTAAATGTTGAGCCTCTCAGCTATCTCTGTGTCTGCAACCTTATGTTCCCTGTTTGACTGAAGGACCTGTCAAGGCCAAGGCTTTTCCTCTTGATCAGAGCACATACTTGAATATTTTCTAATCTGTAACATCGTTGCATATATCCTAATAATACCCAGGAGACTGGGGTTGAAAATGACCCAAACCTCTACCAATATATGTCCTTCCTGGATCTCAGAATGTGACTTAATTTGGAAATAGGATCATTACAATGTAATGAGATAACCTCAGGTCGTAGTGGAGCAGGGTGAGCCCTAATTCACTATCGTTGGTTACCTTATAAAAAGAGAAGAAGCACACAAAGAGACAGAGAGCACTATGTAACAACAGAAGTAGAAAGTGGAGTGATGCAAGGAATACCAAGGATTGCCTGAATCCGGGAGAGGTAAGAAAAACTGTTTTAGACTTCAGCTTCCTGACACCTTGATTTTAAACTTCTAGAGACAAAAACTGTAAGAGAATATAATCTCTGAGGTTTAAAGTCACACAATTGGATGCACTGTGGAAACCAATATCCAAGAGAACTTCTTTACCCATAAATAAGTTCCAGTCAGGTTTACATATGAGGATAGATACCTGAGGTTACATCCATTGTCTGTGCGCCCTTTGCAATCATGAATATGAATATAAATATGCAATCATGAATATGAATATACATACCTGTTTTGGTGCCTTTATACTTTGGGGTAAAAAACACACATTAATCATTCAAAATCATTATGTTCTTAAGCCAAGTGTATATTTTTCCATGTAATAATGGTTTATGATACCAGAGCTTTCTCCATCAACCAGACCTGCTGTGATCAAGTATGTGTGCACATATATGTATGCATATGCATCTATGTACATGTGTGTGTGTGTGCAGTAGCAAGGGAACAAGAATCTGTACTTGACATTGGACAAGAAAAAGCTATATTTTTCCACATTTTGTTTGCTATCTACTGTAGCCCTTGGAAAGCCTTGCACTTCCAACAAACAGTAAGGTCCCAGAAAAGGAAAAGCCACCCACCGCAGCCACCAAAGTGAGCAGAGGAAAAGGCAAAAAAAAAGGGAAAGGGAAAGAGGAAGTGGAGGAAGAAACAGATCCCCGGAAGATCCAGCTACTGAACTGGGTAAGTGTGGAATCTTGGGACCAAACCAATCACTGGGTTTGCATCATCTTTTTCTTAGGGGGAGGGGAAGTTTTGTTTCCTTTGCTTCAGTCCCAACTCAGGATAGCAATGATAAAAGATTAAGGAGATAACATCCACTTTTCAGGTAGCAGAGAAGAAGACCCTCTAGGAGATAGATCGATACAGCGGCTTCAAGAATGGAGTCCAGAATAATAATTGTGAGGATGGTGCAGGACTAGGCAGTGTTTTATTACCAACAACAATGGCTGCTGCATGACTCCCTTCAATGTGGCTATCAGGTTGATAAAACATCAACGTTCCTGCCTCTTAGTGAAGGATACCACCAGGAGTAGATATTCTTCTGATGGTGGCTCTCTCTGCCTGGTAGTCATGTGCATGTTTGATTCATGAATACATAGGGAACAAAATAATTTTATGTAATAAATATAATTCCGTGAACTAGATCTTTTAGAGGTGAGGCCCACGATTGGCTGTAACATTAGTATCAGTTGTGAGCATATTGCGTGGCTGTTCTTTGCCCTGCTGTTGAGAATGTAGGGATATGGGATTCTGCAGTGACATGTGTGTGGCAAGCACATTGAAGTCATCCCACACACAGGGCTGCGAGGACACAGAATGTGCTAGGCTATTGCCCCAGATCCTCTCAATCAAGGAAGAAAACCAGAAATTTGAAATGAAAAACACCATATGGCTGCAATTTTTAACTGTCTCCAATTCTTTTTACTGAGGAGATGATCACTTTGGTACCTGGTTAGGGTGTATAGGAGACAATTGGTGATAAAAGGGTGAAAGGTGGCAAGAGCAAAGAGAACCATGCACAGAATACTCTAGAATTAGGGAACAGAAAACTCTTCCTGTGGTTATTTCCATCGTCTTCCTCTGCCTTGTGTCTCTAAGGGGTTCTCATGACCCTGTTTCTTGGGCGTCTGCAGGTGAATGCTTTGGAGCAAGCGATGCTAGATGCACTAGTGTTAGACCGTGTGGACTTCGTGAAGCTTCTGATTGAAAATGGAGTGAACATGCAGCATTTTCTCACCATCCCAAGGCTGGAAGAGCTCTATAACACAGTAAGTATTCTAGAAGAAGAGGCCAGAAAGGACCTAACCATCAGTACAGAGGTGTAATTTGTACATACTATAAATAAATGGTCTCTAATGGGCACAGGAGGGGCCTTGGTGGTATAGTGGTTCTGAATTAGGTTGCTAAATACAAGGTCAGTAGTTTGGAACCACCAGCAGCTCCTCTTGAGAAATATGAGGCTTTCAACTCCCATAAAGAGTTAGTCTCTGAAACCCACAGGAACCTTTAAGAACCCTGTCTTATAGGATCACTATGAGTTGGCATTGACTCAATGGCAGTAAGTTTGGGAGGTTTTGTTATTGTTTTTGTTTGGGGTTTAAGGTGTTTTTTCCTTCAAATTCCATTATCTTTTCATTCAATTTTCCTGGAATTTTTTGAAGCCCCTTTATGTATATTAGAATATTCACCAGTTCAACATTTCCCCCCCTATACAATGTAGTAACATTGGTTACAATAAATACGTTGTGCAAGCGACACAGTGTCCCTTGTCAAATGTTCCATCACTGTACACAGATAATGCTTCCTAAACAGTGGCTCTCTTCCTTCTCCTCTGGGCACCATTCTGATCATCCTTAAGCCTGCCGTCCCCCCCAGGATGAGTTCACAGGGACAAGGAGGCATACCCATTGGAGCCTCTTCTTCCATTGCTTGAGAGCATCTGGGTACCCAAACTAAACCAAACTAGCTGCTGTAGGGTCAGCTCTGACTCATGATAACCGGGCTTTCTTCAGTTCCTGCCCAAAGAGCTATGAGCCTGCTCCTAAAATTTATGTGGGTTTCTTTCTTAAGAAGACTCCTGAGCCCAAGAATGTGTGGACAGAGCTTAGCTGACCTTCTTGGAGTGATACCAGGTGGTGCCCTGGCAGACGGGGAACTGGTATAAAGGGAAGGGCCGTGGAACAAGGGATACATTTGTACTCTGGCTTGGGGTGTTTTTGTTTTCAAATGAGCATGAAATAATAACTGAAGCAAAGCTTCAGCTAGGAATGCCAAGATTTCATGGCATCCAGTTATTTCTTATCTGCTGCTGGCAATGGATTATTCATATTTTTTATAAGCTACCACCCTATCCAGTCAGATAACCAATTCTGGTGCAGTATTAACTCTTGTCAAACCCTCAAATGTGGTATGTGAAAACTAAGAAACTCATAGTCGTTGAGCTGATTCCAACTCATGGCAACACATGTTACAGAGCAGAACTGCCCCACTGGGTTTTGTTGGCTGTTTGTTTTATTAAATGTATTCATTCACATGAGAAAATATTCCCCATATATTATTAAGTTTAGAACAATAACAAAAACAAACACAGATTCTAAAGCAGTATATTCTCTTTAAACATATATATATATCATATGTACAGACAATACACATTTAAAAATCACATAAAGATTATTTCCACTATACTATTTTTGGAATGGTAAATTATTTTCATTTTCACATTTGTGGTTTTTTTTATATCTTAACTATTTTTTGCTTTTATATAAAAGATCTTGTAATATTTGGGATTTTTGTTGTAATTAGGTACAAATACAACCTTCTCATATTATAAATCTATTGCCATCAAGGCAATTCTTTTTTTTTTTTTAACATTTTATTAGGGGCTCATACAACTGTTATCCCAATCCATACACACATCAATTGTGTAAAGCGCATTTGTACATCGTTTC